ATATCCAATATAATATCTATGTTATATGAGGATGATGAAGAAATAACTCCAAAGGAGATCAATTATTCAGCGCAATAGTTTTCTCAAGGTTTTTTTGGGAAACGTCTTCTTATGTTTAAATTACAAACTATTTGTGATAAAATTTCCAAAACCGGCAACTTCATTGTGCCATTTGGCGTTTCTGAGTCACTGTTGAGCGATCCTGTAACTGCATCCGGTTATCTCCTGGTGAACGTGATAACTCCCTTTCAGCTCTGAAAGCACTTGTTTTGAGTCCTTCCTTTCTTCCTGAGAATTGGTTAATTACCATCTCCAGATCTGAATGGCACTGAGGTTACAAAAGTGGAAAATCACCAGAGTCTTAAGATGCAGCCAAACCGGAAATATTCTGAATCTACTCCTGCTCCGCCGTCCACACGTGATTTTTGTCCGGCCGTGACTATGTGTGACCCTGGCTCACAAGACCACACATGGAGAGGTGGGGGCGAGGCGGGATTCCATCCTGGTCCGTGTGCCAGGGGACTCCATGTGCAACACTCCGCCAGGTGCTCAAAGTGTGCCGGCCACCGTTTTTATACACTGGGACTCTTGTGCACATGGAATATTTGCATTGTGGGTAAATGATTGATTCCATGGGAACTTGACTTCCATATTTCCCAGGCTCTTATCCCCCCCTCATTTTCTGATTTTCTGAAAAAGAAGCTTCTACTCTACCATTTTCATCCTTTGTACTATATTAACATAAGTTTTTCATTTGCTGCCCTGAGTGTTTACATAAGATTTTTTTTTACTCTTTTGTGGGGCTGCTACTCTTGATGAGTCCCTATCACTCATAGGCACCTGGAGAGGGGACCCTGTTCTGTCTTCTCGGACACTGTCACGTGGCATCATCCATTTTCCTGGGAAGTGCAGAAAAAGTAAAAGTGGGGCGTGAAGGAACTGAACCCCTATGAAACTTGACTGCAAAGCTGAATTTCAAAAATTGATCCTTCACCCTTTCACCCAGCCACCGAGAAATAAAAAGCCTTCTGACTCAAATATTATCTTAGAAAAGGACGATTTCAAAGCAATACATGTACATGAAATAAAAACCACCTAGATGCTGAAAGCTGTCACGACCACTCAGTTGTTACCTGCAGCAGTGCCAGCCAATGGAAACACATCGTGACATATGTCACGTACCCATGTGGCTTTCAGTTTACCGGCAGCCCCATTAAAACAAGCAACATGTGAAACTAATGTGGGTAACATATTTTATTGAGTCCATCATGTTCAACATACCATCTCCACAGGTAACCAATGTGAAAAATGTGCTGAAACATTTACTTTTTTTTCCATCATAAGTTTGGAAATCCAGTGTGCCCTTTATACTTATAGTGCATGCCAACTGGACCTGCGTTCGAGGGCTTGTCCCCGTGTGTGTGGCCGCTGGACACGGCCACTGGACAGGGCAGCTCCCTGGCCGGTCCTGGGAGCCTTGCTGAGAGATAGAAGGGGAACCTGCCACAGTTGGAGGCGGTTGTTTTGAGCAAGGCCCCAGACCACGTTTCTACTCCAGAAGTTAAATCGGACCGTGGAAGCAGATTTGCCATGTTTTCCAAGAGAGGAGAAGAGGCCCCAGTTCCGAGTGCCGCGCGCGGAGGATTTCTCTGCCAAATTGAAAGGAGGCTGATTGTTCTTAGTATCAGGGGACTGCGGCATGGCAGCCGAACACTTGAAAAAACCGTCTCTTTCATTTCCCGGAAGAGCTGATGGTGGCTTCCCAGCTTGTCACCCTCCCGGGGTCTTTATCAGGTGCTAACGATGCAGGTGAGGAGACCGGCCCTGCTCACCTGGTCCCTCTGAGGAAAAGGGTGTCTTCCCAGGTTGTCATCTCTTCCAGATGTTCTGTTTGCTGCTCTGTGAGGGGCCCGCTTGTTATTACAGCTTTGTTCACCTGATTTCCGAGATCACTGTTTTCCATGTCACTTAGACTGAAACTTCTTGTCACGGCCACTCACCATCTGCCCAGGCACCCAAGTTAGAAGCCTTCTTTCTCCAGATCCAATTCACCTTTAGGTCACAGTCCTTTGACCTTTGAACTGCCCCTTGAATCTACCCCTTCCAGTCCCCCTACCACTGTCCCGGTTTATACTTTCTGCTTGCTGGCCCGGATTACTGAACCAAACTTCTAACTGTCCCACTCTCTCAATTTCCCTCCCCTTGCACCCTAATTCTTCCTCCACTCTGCCACTAGGGTGAGCTTTCTAAATTATGGACCAAATCAGGTCACTCTTCTGGTTTCAGGTCTTTTGTTGACCCCTCATTGTCCACATAGTGGATTTCCACTTTTTTATAAGCAGAACCCCAAATTCTTTCAATGAGATGTCTCCAGAAGCCCCAGGATATAAGACAGATAACATCTGACTACTCAGGGGACAGAGAGACAGAGACAAAAGCAGAGATAGAGGCCTCAAAACCTGTCCCAACATCCCCCCAGCCCCACCCTCTACAGGCCCAGGGCAGCTGCAAGGAATCCTGGGACTTTCTGGAACAGCCAGAACCGGGCTCCTCAGTGGGAAGCCTGTGTTCCTTAGGCCCAATGGAAGCTGGGTGCAGCCCCCTTTCCTGGTGCCCACCTTTCCCCAAAACAGCCCTCCTCCCACTCTCCTCTCTCCCCAGGGTTCAGGCTCCGTCCTCTGCCCCTCTGACACCATAGTTTGGACGTCATGCTTACTTGCTTCTGCTCTCGGATTGCTCCCCACCCCCACCGCCCCCAGCGCTGCTTCTCCGGAACAGAGTGGCCGGAGCCACATTTGGGTGTGCAAAATGTTTCAGCACGTTGTAACCTAGACGTACGACCCTCAGGTAACAGCACACACAACTCAGTTCACGGCCAGGTAGTTCCTCACCTGAAGTTAAATGATTTCATTTCAAATTTGATTTAATTTTTTTAAGTTGCCTCCTCCTAAACATTACAAAATCATAAAATAACTTCTCTAACAATGGTGTGTGAGTGGTACTCAATGGCAGAAACAACTTATCCTTAGCTGTAGAGGTGCCACAGACTGCCCAACGTGTCCCACCAGGCAGAGGGGGCCCCTGGAAAGGGCTCTGCCCCCTGGGTTCAAGGACATGGCTGCCACGACTCTCTGGTGCACATCGGATCATAATTTCCTTAAAAGCACATCATCTTAGGCAGCTCAGGCTGCTGTAACAAAACACCATGGGCTGGGCGGCTTAAACAACAGATATTTATTTCTTACAGCCTGGAGACTAGGAAGTCCAAGATCAAGGTGCAGGCACATTCAGTTCTGGTGAGGGCCCACTTACTGGCTTAGAGACAGCCCCCTTCTGGCTGTGTCCTCACATCGCAGACAGGAAGCTCTGGTGCCTTCTTCTTCCTATAAGGGCACGGGTCCCATGATGAACTCATCTATATCTAGTTGCCTATCAAAGGCCCTACCTCCGAATGTTAACATATTGAGGGTAAGGTTTCAGCATATGAACTTGGCAAGGAACAAACATCCAATCCATAGCATGTGTGTCAATTCAAAGTGTGTCTCTGAGAGACAGCATGATGTCATGGGAAGAGAAGTGAATTTAAAGTCAACACTCCACCATTGACCCAGGAACCTTAGAGGAGATCGGTTAACATGGCCAGTCTCAGATTTGCCCTAAGGAAACGTCAATTCTACTGGTCCCATCTAACTGGGGTTACAGTGAAAACCCAAGGAGGGATGAGTCAAGAGGACTGGCGTGAGTAAATACTCCTTTTTCTTCTTTAAGGAGTGACCCTTTTTGGAGAGTGCCATCCAGAACTGTTCCTCCCTGCACGCCAGAGGGAAGAAGTGACTTAACAAAGATCCACAGGAGGAACATGACAGTGTGTGTGTGGGGGGGGGGGGTCAGCCCTTCTGGGCACGCCAGCTACCCTGTACCTGAACTGTTTTACCTCGAGTCCATTCTTCTTTTCATAAGCTAGGAACCTGTACAAACTTGTGTAAACCTAGCGCAAGCTTATCATTGTTAACTGAAGCCTGGCAGAACATCAAAATAATATTTGTTAAACACATTAAGCTGCTAAGCTCCTGGTACATGATTGCATCTGGCTCTCCACACAGCCCTGCGTTCCATCTTTCCTGAAACTGACGGTCAAGGCCAGTAGATAATGTCCCCAAACCACACAGGTGGAAAGGGACAGAGGAGATTCAAATCTAAGGCTTTCCCCATTAGCCCAGGGTGCCTCAGCAAGGAAACAAATAATCCCACAAAATTGGAGAAAAAGGACAAAAAGCAGTAAGTACAGCTTCAGCTTGATGTTTGCTGATGCTGTTTCGGAATATCATGTACATGATATCCCTATTTTTACAAAATCATCAATTGTTATTAGAGGGGGAAAGGAACTAGTCTATTTCCTGCTCTAAAGTTTTTTAAAAAGTAAACAGAACATAATACGTAGTTTAAAACGTCAGAAGTGTGGAACAGTGTGTTAATGTGCGTCCACAGCCACATAATTTGCATGCTCTGCGGAAGTGCACAGAGGTAGGGTGGATGACCCGAAGGTCACCCGAAGGTCACCCAAGGATTACTCAGAGAACTCCTCACTCTCCCCTCCCTGCCCATGCACTTGGCCCTTATCCCTCACCTTCCTTCTGGACATGATGCCTCCACCCAGATTCTTTCAGAAGCCTGCTATTTTAGGGCGTACAGATGCAAGATCAAGTTTCTGCCTAAAATACTAGTGCCGGTTCATTAAGCACCCTCAGCCTTAACGTTCACCCCTGATTTCCTACACAGCCCCCCTATCCCCTGAGCCCACCCTCAGCGTCCTGAGCCCTGCTCCCCTGAGGGGTTCTAGGGAGGCGGGAGCCGGTGACGCGCCTGGAGCATTGTGAACTGGCCCAGCGTCACAAGCGCCCCAACGCTCGCCGCCGCATCCGAGGGCAGAGAGGGTCTCCGCAGCGCCCCCTGGAGGCCCTGGCATCCTGGCTCAGACGCTGGGCGCGCGGGGAGCGAGCATGGAGGGCATGGGCCAATTCTACCCGGACCTCTGGGAGCCCCCGCGGCCCAGCAAAGAGCGCGTGTCCTCCGCACGGCTGCGCGGGCCCAGGCAGCAGACCCAGCCGGCGCGGGGCTCCTGGGCCGGCTCTCCGGACGAGGGCAGCGATACTGCGGCTCCCTGGCCTCCCCCACGCTGCTCGCCTACCCCGCGGGCTCGCCGGCACCGGCAACGGTCCCGGGACTCATCGAGGGAAAGTCGCAGCCTGAGCGATGTGGCCACGAGGCCCCTGGACCGCACTGGGAAGCACAGGCCCCGCAGCTGGCGCGTTAAAGATGCCTGGCGGGAGCCAAGGACCCAGCCCCAGTCCATGCGGGGAAGCCAGCACAGTACGGCCTGGCCGCATCAGGCCCAGCTCTGCCAGCACTACCCTGCAGCCCAGGGAGATTCTCCCCCACCGGCCTCCGAGGGCGCTTACGCTCCCCTAGGAGGAACTTTCGGGGCAGAAAAGCGGCTGAGTGGAGATCCTTGGGCAGTGCCAGTCTACAGAGGTCTCGATCGCTGGTCCCTTTCATCGGTTCCCTCGGAGAAGTCTTCTGCGCCTTCCCACGAGTTTGGGACGCTGTCCGCTTGTGTGTACACCCCGAAGAGGGACAGCAGTGACCGTATCGGGACGTTAACCAGCCAGCACTCCCAGCCCTCCGTCTCCAGCAAGGAGATGAAGAGCCGGCACACCCAGATACTCCAGAACACGCTGGAAGAGGCGGTAGTGTCTTCCAGGGACCAGAAGATCGTGGCCCTGGTGCTGATCCGGCTCAAGAAGGCACAGAGGATGCGGGAGCTGCAACAGCAGGCGGCAGTGGCCTGGGAGGAGCTCAAGCGCTCGGACCAGAAGGTCCAGATGACTCTGGAGAGGGAGCGCAAGCTGCTCCTGCGGCAGAGCCGGGCCCAGTGGCAGCTGGAGAAGGAGCAGCGCAAGACTCGCCCGAGCGGGGAGCAGCTGCGGGACAGCCAAGCCAAGAACATGCGCCAGCAGGAGAACCAGGGGAAGGCGCCATCGGAGGACAGAGAGACCCAGCGCCAGGACAAGCTAGAGAGGGCCCGCCCTCAGGCCAAGCTCACCAAGCAGGGCCAGGTGAAGGGCCCCCAGGAGCAAGAGGAGACGCTGCAGGACCAGCGGGGGCAGGACAGCCTGGAGGTGCAGAAGAGGCTAGAGCAGGCCTGTCCCAAGAAGCAGCTGCCCACCACCGAGGACCAGAAGAAGGTCCGGGAAGCCAATCTCAGCTCCCTAGTCAATTACCAGGCCCGGAAGGTGCTCATGGACTGCCAGGCCAAGGCGGAGGAGCTCCTGCGGAAGCTGTCCCTGGAACAGAGCTCCCAGAGGTCCCAAGAGATCCACCGGGGCCTGATGAAGGAGCGTCAACGGGAGCTGAGGGACAAGGCCCGGAGGGAAGAGGAGCAGTACCAGCAGGTCAGGTTGCGCTCGGAAGAGCTGGAGGAGCAGAGGAAAGTGCGCAAGCAGCTGCTGGTGGAGCTGGCCAACCAGAGGGTCCAGCAGGCCAGGAGCCACGTGCACAAGAGCGTCAGCGACAGAGCGCAGTACCTCCGAGAGCTCAACCTCCTGCGGGAGAAGAACCACCACATCCTAAAGCTGAAAGCCGAGAAGGAGGAGAAGTGCCACATTGAGGGCATCAAGGAAGCCATCAGGAAAAAGGAGGAGAGGATGGCGCAAATCTCCCGAGAGAAAGAGGCCACCTTCAAGGAATTCCAGAAGATCTCCAGGACCTCTAGAAGGGACAACAGCGCCTTTGACCACGCCGCGGGGAAGGCCCAGCTCCTGGCTGGCCAGCACCGAGCGGGCTACTGGGAACCTGGCAGCAAATAGCTTACAGTCCAGGCAGCTAGGAGATAGAGCTGTGATTCCTTTTATAATCTGATTAAGTGAGCGTTGATTTTTAAAAATATATAAAATAGCTGCAGTTTCCTCTCATAAACTCGTTTATGGATTCATTTGGACAGCTGAGAATCTTGGGAATAGAAGTTTGGGGATTTTAAGAAAATCACTTGCCTTTGTGAATTTTGATTTAAATAGAATATATTCATTTGGCTCTCAAATAATCTGAGAAGCACAGACCCGGCAGAGCTTGGGGGCACCAGAGAAAAATTCCAGGAGGAGAACTACTTCCGTGCCTGGCATCTCCCCTCCCAGAACTCATAAGAAATTCCCGAGGTGGGGGGCTGTAGAATGTTTTTTTTTTAAGTGTGTTGTAGGGGGCGGAGGGGGCGGGAGGGTGGGGGGGGGCTTCTGTAAACAAGCAGATTGGGGAACCCTGCATACTGTATCCCACCCTTGGGAGTTTACAGTGCAGACAAAATTTCCAAGGCTCTGAAAAGGCCTGCGGTGAAGAAATTAATGTGTTGAAGCTAGTGTTCTCCACAACAGAGCCCCTTCTTTTTTCTCCGATCGTCCCATGGAGTGAGCGTTCTGTGAAATGTTTCTGGATACCGCTGTCTGTAGTTCCAGATTGTGAGCGGCTTTGGCCTTCCCTCCACACGTGGACAGAAAACGTTTACAATTCCTTTGGGGCTACCACTTCACGGCTCTCCCCCAGCCACACTGCCCAAGAGCTCGCTGCAAACTTTCCTTCTGATTTCGTCCCCCTTTTTAGTCAGTACTATCCAATCTTTTTGGACAAAAATCGACTGGAATCCTTCTAGTCCCCACTCTTTCTCCTCTGTTTCTTTGGCTCAAGGTACATGATGTCATTCCATCCGCCCACACTGTGTCTAATTAACCTGACCAGCTCTGAATGGATGACTGAGCGTGCATGATTCAGAACGCTGATGTCCTAGAATAAGGAGCCAGACGCCAAGTAGAATTTAACCCGCCACATCTTGACGTCTCCATTGAAAAATTTTAGAAGTTTTCTTTTAGAGTCCCTAATGCAACATTTATCTTCAAAAGAGAGAGCAATAGAGTAAGTCCCACTTGAAGATTTTTGTCACATTAGTATTTTTGAAATGACATGAAAGGTAATCTTGCTCAAAGATCAGTGTGAGAGTCACATTCTCACATGTATTTTTTATTAAATTTAGTGGGGTGGCATTGGTTAATAAGATTGTATAGGTTTCGGGCATACATTTCTATGATACATGATCTATATATTGCATGGTGTGCCCAACACTCAAGGTCAAATCATCCTCCTCCACCATCTGTTTGACCCCATTTACCCACCCCACCCACCAACCTCCACCTGCTTTCCTCTGGGAAACACCATACAGTTGTCTGTGACTATGAGTTTCAGTTTTGTGTGCCACATATGAGTGGCATCATATGGTTCTTAGCTTGTTCTGACCAACTTCCTTCACTTAGCATAATATTCTCAAGGTCTATCCATGCTGTGACAACCAGCGGTGTTTTATCTTTTTTATGGCTGCATAGTATTTCACAGTATATACATACTATGTCTTCTTTATCCAGTCCTCTGTCAAAGGACATGTGGGTTGTGTCCAGATCTGGGCCACCATGAATAGGGCTGTAATGAACATAGGAGTGCACGTATCTTTATAAATCACTGTTTTCAAGTTTTGGGGGTGGACACCCAGAAGCGGGGTTGCTGGGTCAAGTGGTAGCGAAGTCCATGAGTTTTTTGAGGAACCGCCACACTGCCTTTCATAGTGCAAGTACCAGTTTACATTCCCACCGGCAGTGAATGAGGGCTCCTTTTTCTCAACCACCTCTGCGACACTCGTTATTACCTGTCTTGTTGGTAGTAGCCATTCTAATAGATGTGGGGTGATGCCTTGTTGGAGTTTTGATTGCGTTTCCCTAACAGCTAGTGAAGTTGAGCATCTTGTCACACATCTGTTGGCTAGAAGTGCCTGTTCAGATCCTCTGGCCATTTTTAATGGGATTGTTCATTGTTTGGTGTTGAGTTGTATGAGTTCTTTATATATTTTGGATATTAATCACTTGTCAGAGCTGTTGTTTGCAAATATCATCTCCCATTCAGTTGGCTGTCTTTTGTCTGGGCACTGGTTTCTTTTGCTGTGTAGAAACTTTTTAGTTTGATATAGTTCCATTCACTTATTTTTGCCTATGCTTCCCTTGCCTTGGGGGTCAAATTCATAAAATCTTCTCTAAGAGCAAGGTCCTATGTTTTCTTCTCTGCAATTTATTGTTTCAGATCTTATATCCATTTTGGTCCATTTTGAATTAATTTTTCACAGGGGGACAAACTATGGTCTAGTTTCGTTCTTTCGCATGTGGCTTTCCATTCTTCTCGGCACCATTTATTGAGGAGACTTTCTTTTCTCCACTGTGTGTTCTTGGTTCCTTTGTCAAAAATCATTTGCCCATATACATGTGGGTTTATTTCTGGTCCAATTCTGTTGTATTGGTCTGTGTGTGTGTGTGTGTGTGTGTGTATTCTGCCTTTTGGTATTCTGCCAATGCCATGCTGTTTTGATTATTGTCACTCTGTAGTATAATTCAAAGTCAGTCAATGTGATAACTTCAGCTTTGTTCATGTGCGGGTATGCTTTTAAAATCTTTGTGGACTTAAAAAGAAGAACAATTTAAATGTATTTGGAACCAGACGATAATGAAAACACAATGTACCAAGGCTTATAGCAGTGAGAAAGATAACACAACAGAAATGCATACTAAAATGCGTATTAGTGTGAGATGATGAAAATGAATGAGCTCATCACACAAATTAAGAAATTAGAAAAAGAACAACAGGATAAATTTAAAGGTAAGTGTAAGTGCAGAAATTAATCAAATAGAGAACAAAGATGGAATTCATGTGATTAACAAAAAAATTAAAAGTTGCTTCTTTGAAAATCTGAATAAAATTGGCAAGCTTCTAGCAGAGTTTGAGAGAGCCATGCCAATAATAAGGAAAATAAGAAGATATAATGAGAGATGCAGCTGAGACTAAAAAGATAAGAGTTTATAAAAGATTGTAAGCCAAAGAATGCATAAAGATGCATTAACTTTTAAGAAATTAACATATTTCCTTAAATATAACCAACTCAAAAAGAAATAAAAAGTCCAAATAGCTCATAACCCTTAAAATAAGTGAATCGATTGTTTAACTTTCCTACAAAAAAGTCACCAGATGATTGTACAAGTAAATTCTACCAAACGTATTCTAATCTTATGCAAATCATTTGAGGAAAAAAATACTTTTCAATTTATTCTGAGTCCACTATATCTTTGATACTAAAACTCAAAAAAATGTAATAAAGAAAAATTATAGAAAAGTCTCATCCATGAACATAAAGGCAGTAATCATACACAAGTATTAGCAAAATGAATCTGCACTTTATGAAAAAACACAATACACCACAACTAAGCTGGGTTTATTCCAGGAATATGAGGCTTAACTTCAGAAAGTCCGTAATTATCATTCACTATATTAGCATATTAGAAGAACAAAACAGTATGGTTATTTCACTAGATGATTAAAACACATTTGATGAAATTCAAAATACCTATTTATAATTTAAAAACAATTAAACTGACTCAGAATAGAAAGGGACTTCCCTAATCTGATAAAAACCTACAGCAAACATCATTTTTAATAATGAAACAGAGAAGGCTTTTAAAACCAAGAATAAAAAGAAAAAAAGATACAAGGTTTGGAAAGGGGGAAAAAAACCCTCAAAACTCTCATTCACAGATGACATGATTGTCTTCATAGAGTATTTTATCTACAACCTTAAAAGTTTATATATTCATGCCCTAGCTGTTGTAGCTCAGTGGATTGAGCACAGGCCTACAAACCAAAGGGTTGTGGTTCAATTCCGAGTCAGGGCACATGCAAGGGGCACATGAGAGGCAACCACACATTGATGTTTCTCTCCTCCTCCTTCTCCCTACCTTTTCTTCTCTCTAAAAATAAATAAATAAATAAAAATTTAAGTTTATATATTCACAACAGATTTTTTTTGGCAATAGCCAAGAACTAGAAACAATTTAAAGTAATTTTACCATCAATGGTAAAATGCATAAATGGCTCAGTGGGCTGGAGCATCATCCTGTGCACCCAAAGTTCTCAAGTTCAATTCCCAGTCAGAGCACATACCTAGGTTGTGGATTTGGTCACCAGCCAGGGCAAATAGGGGAGGTGACTGATCAGTGTTTCTCTCTCACAATGATGTTTCTCTCTCTCTCTCTCTGTCTCCCCCCACTGCACCATCTCCCTCTCTCAAATCAATAAACATATCCTCAGATGAGGATTTTAAAAAATGGATAAATAAGTCAAGGCGTGGTCACACAATGGAATTCTATGCAGCAAAGAGCATACAAATAATCAGCAAAAATACTAAGAAAATGGGTGAATCTCCCCAACTGGATGGTGAGTGACGTGAGTGAAGGAAGCCACACCGGAAAACATACACTGTATAGTGTCATTGGGGTGAAACGCACATACAGATACGCCAATCTCTGCAGCAGAAACCAGGACAGTGGTGTCCCTTGTGGGGGACTCGTGACTGGGGGGTTCCCGGAATGCAGCACGCAGTTGCAGGTAAAACATGGGGTGCAGAGCCCACTGGTGTTGGGTTTAAACCCCGGCTCTCCACTCATCAGCTGTCTGACTATCCACGGGGGCATAAACATGGCGAGACTCAGTTTCCTCCACTGGAAAATGGGCACAATAATGCTTATCACCTCACTGGGTTGCTGGAGGTGAGTGAGACAGTGTATGTGAGGTCTGTGGCTCAGAAAGCCCTGGAAAATGGGGGCTATGATTGTAATCAGTGTTTCTCTTCTTCACAGCCCCTCCACCAGAGCCTCCTGATCCTTCATTCCCAGGGATAAAACACAGCTACACTACTCAGTGGACGGCTTTTGGTCTCAAGACATTTCCTCCCAAGCTGCTTTGGGGAGCTCCCAC